TTAGCCTCATAGCTCCATCTTTAAATCTTTGAGAAGATCAGACCTGGAACTGTTCTAGCTATTTTAAAGCAGGGGCAGATTAAATGTCCATCTTTGGGATCCAAGCCCCAGAGCTTGGACAGGGCCCAGAGGCCAGCTCCAGATCCAGCTGCTCCTGGCAGGACTAGAAATAGGTGGCACAAGAACAGCAACTGAAGGTCAGACCCAACTCTCAATTCCATGTTGCCATCTCGGGAACAGAAAAATAGGCAACATGTCTCCTATATGATGACTCTTACCACGGATTTAGCATCAGAGCAACTGAAAGAGAGGAAGGTACTGAGATCCCAGAATATCTCATTATTCCTCTGCTTTTTACAAGTCATCTGCTGGAGTGGGCCACCACCTCTGACTTGTCTCCTTCTCTGGCCAGCCTCTCAGACCCCAAATGAAGGCCAAAGCCTTCATGACCAATGCAAGAGTGCTTCAAAATAATATTAATTGCACTACAGCCTCCAAAGAACCTCACTGTGGTAAGAGGTACCAGGAACTTGAGAAAAGGCTGGGTAGTTATGTATCTCCACCAAGTAACCTACAAAGAAATCCATGCTTCTTGCCTTTTTCCCTAACACAGACAAATGTTTAACTGCTGACCCGCTAGCCCGAATGAACAGTCCCAGGACTGCTTTGTGGCAGACTGATAAAGAACGAATTTGGCTTGAAGGCTTACAGGGAACCAACAGCAAAAAAAATAATTGCTGGCTGACAAGAGAAATGTTAAGAGGTAACACGTGCCCTAAGGAGGCCTGGGAAAAAGAGCCCATCTTCTCTAGGGGGGGCTGGACGGCAACGTAATGTCTGGACAAAAGCCTTACAGACTGGGGCCTCACAAGCAGCCTTTTGTAAAAAAAGGCCTGATTGCAGGGAGATGGGGAGAGAGGAAGAAAGAGTGTTTCACAGGAGTTACTGAGCTGCAAAATGATGATGAAACAGTAATAAATAAATAAACAAACCTACTGAGTCAGGACTTGGAAGTTCCAGAAAATTGTGAAGGCCTGAATTCACAGAGGCCTTGAATTTAAGACGCTTAAAAGTTTCAGGTTTCAGTTTCTGCTTTGTTTTGTTTTTAAACAATTACAGATTACTCTAAAAGAGTGTGAAATTAAAGAATATTCACAGTGGTTTGAAAATAAATCATCACTGATTTTCACATAAATTATCCTACTAAAACTGCAGTTACTTTCTGAGGTCCAGAATCTTCCTTTATTTATAGTTGCTCATCTCTAATGTCATCAGTGAAAATGTACTGGGCATTGAAGACAAAATCTATTCAATTATTAATTTAGACATTTATACATGCAGCATGTAATCATAAAAACAGTGCAGTCTGATTTAGCAGGTTATACAGATGCCACAAACTAATAGTACCTATTGCATTATGAAACTGAAATTAAAAAAAAACAACAGATTACTAAAAGCATGCAAAATGCATAACTGTAAGCTTGCCTAAATCCTAACACACTGTCTCAGGGATTTTCCATATCTACAGGACAAATTATTTTCTAAAATACTTAACTCAGTAAACTACTGGATTTCCTATTCTATCATTTCTGTATCTTATATACAATTACTTGGGCCACAGAAGAATGTACTTTTTTTGGACTTGTGCAGCTGCAAAAGCCAGTGGTATAATGTGGAACAAAGCTTACATTTATCTAATTGTGGGTACCGAGTCAGAAAGCCATAAACATCTCTAGACGTAACTCAGATGCAAGAGAAACTTAATCCTCAAATGCATATCATCTCCTTTTTGTTCATCATGGCCTTCCCCTAAATCATTTCTAAATTCATTCCAATACTCAGAAGGATTTTCGGTTCTGAGGAAATATTATCCCCCAGATAAGTGCCATGACTCAGAGAAACAAGAAACCACAAACAATAGGCAAAATAATCCCTCACCTTTTGACTACATCCCAGGCTGCGATGGTGTTAAGATTATTGATGATGAAACAGAGGCAATAACATCACACAGCAAACGGACCCTTAGGCTCGCTGAGAAATAACTACTGCAAATGACCAGAAAATTTAAGGGGCAGTTCAAATTAAGACACCTCAATGTAGGTGTCTTTGTATAGGTGTTTATATGCTGGCTAGGTCTCTACGAGCCCGTTTTACTCAGTTGAGGCCGTTTCCTAAACACAGGCTTCTAGAGCCCTGAGAGATACCTTGCTATGTCCCCTGCTGGCCTCCAGCTGCAAGTCTAGAAGAACAAAGGTCTCTCATAGATCAGAGAACTCCACATGCATGTCCTGGATACTCTCACGAACCTCAAATGACACCTGTCCTTCATGCAACTGAATCAAGCCTGGCAGATCTAGTTAGTACAGTCATCAGACCTCTAACAACAAGGTATCACACCCTGAAGTAAAGACGTGAGGAGTAAGTCAACTGCCCACTTAGAACATCTGAGATGCTTAAAACCATCTGGGATATCTACATGGGGATTACAAATGCAACAAAGGACCTAAGGAAACTCTCCTCCTAACTGCATCTGCACCTCCAGGTGAGGCAGGGTACGATGCATCATCTCGGATCACAGCAGGAGCCTATGCTGGGCCACGAAATTGCTCAGTAGGTACTCTAAGCACCTACTACAGGAGTCATCTCAATTGCTTCACCAAGTTCCACCCACTGTATCGACTGCCCCCCAGGTCTCAGATCTGTTGCTGAACGTGTTTACTTCCATTTAAGATGTATCTTATCCTGCCTGATCTCAGTCTCTCCCCAGCTGACAGTGTGCTTCCCATAAAACCTGTCATGCTTCTCATACTTCTGTGGGCGTCTCATAAATCTCCAACGAGAACAGATGTTTATGTTTAGTCAAATGGAGAGAGGCTTCAGAAGGTGGTTAGCTGAATCACTCTCCAGGCTATACCAGCTGTACAGACCAAACCTCTATCCCTCAGATTATCAGATTACAGGGAGAATTTAGAATTGAGCCTCACCACAACTTTCCCAATATATATATAGGATTACTCCATGCATAAACACTCTTATTGTCACGAAGCTTCATCTTTTTCATTAAGGCTCTGCTGTTAGACATTTCAATTCAGATTTTTTCCTCATTCAAAATCTGAGTGAAGACAAAAAAACTTGTAAGTGTAAGTACGCACGTTCTTCTGAATTTCCTTATGTATTCTGAACCTGAATCTGCCATATACAGGTGCCAACGACACCAAATTTCCAGATGCCTCAAAAGAAATGGCACACAGGCAAATGCTAAGGTTGCACAGATTAACATAGAGCATCCATCACCTTACTAATCCCTTCTTCATTCAGTATAGGTACTGCAGTTGTTACTACTAAAAAGACAAAATTAATTTTATAAAATCCTTTTCTTTGGTTACTTCATATGTACTGATGTGGTTTAATATTCAATCTAAGAACTATTCATTCTTAAAAATATTTTAATATAATTTTTTTAACAAATTAGTTTGAAAAAATGAAATGTGACAGATTTACAAGACCTGAATTACACTGGTAGAGATTTACATCATAGTTATTGAGGGTCAGGCCAGAGTGAAGTAAGTGTTTCAGCTACAATTTAAATGGTCCTACATATTTCACACAGAGCTGGCTACCTTACAGCGGAAAATCTTTGTCACCCCAGCTCGCCTAAATTAGACACTTCATGTTTTTCTTTCTTGACTTTTTTTTTTTTTTACAGGTGGAAATAGTAATGCTAGCTTTCATCGTTTTCTATAAGCATCCAAAACCGCACCAGATGTCCTATGCTTCAGTTAGCAAGAAAAAATAAAAATTTCTTCCTGCAAAAACCTGTTCATGAGCTTCAGAAAGATAAAACACACATCAGTTAAAAGTGTCATTACCGTTATCTGCTTCTATCCATGTTTTTAATAATCTTTATTTCTTAAAACACAGCAACATTCAACCATTGCTTATTCTTTGGATCATGATCAATATATTTACTCCCAGACTTCTTTCTCCATATACCATGTAGAAGTTAAGTTAAAGACTGAGATAACAGGGAGGTTGAGAGAACTTCAGAGCCTCGCTGATGGTGAGCAGTTAGATTCTCCTTCACCCTGTGCATTGGCCTTGGCTGAGCTGCCCACCATGGTTAGACCATTGCCACATTGGTCCTATTTGTGTCTTTTGTTCCTCCTTACAATTCACAAGACCCTAGCAGCTGTTTGTGGTTTTGTGTGTTTGTTTAAAAGGTGTTCTCTTCTGATCATAAATCCAGTACAGGATATTCTTAAGCGAACCACGCATTTTCCTTACAATTGTGTCATGTTTCAACCATTTCAAATGACTGCACAGCACCAAGTCTATTGCTAACAATGCTGCAGTCAGTAAATGGGAATTATCTGTCATCTGAATTACATCATCTACAGCCACAGCCATTGTGATGGCCCCATTCTGAGGAGCAATTTAACACCACAGACTGTGAGGCTGCATTATACTGTACACAATCTGCCCAGTGTACAACAATCAGAGTGCCACCTAGTGTGACCCCGTGTTACCATCACGTTTATTGTACTAAAAACAAATGCTGAACTGTTACCAACTGCTTGAAAATGCTGAAAGTAGTGCTTGCTACAAGACTCGTATCAGGAAAGAAATTTAGATGATCCAAAACGAAACAAGATTTAAAACTTCTTTTTTTTTTAATTTCAATATTCAACAAAACCAGTCTGTAGAATAAAACAATCCCTATTTATCCAAGTGCTGAAAGAAAAACACCAATCTCTGTCTTTAATAATGTTCAAAAGCCAAGGTATTTTCTATGACTGCAGAGACAAGAAATTAGAAAGCAAACTACACCTTAAGATTTAGTTTATATCACCAAAACAGAATTATCAAAACCTTCCAATACACATTAGAAGCATAATGTGTATTTTTGCACAGGCTATCCGGAGGTCCTAACTTGACCCACTCATCATAAAGGTATGCAGAAATCTGAGTGAAAACATATTGCCAAGCAAAACTAGACTTACCTGAAAGTGCAAAATTATGGTCCATATCAACCCCAAAGTCAACTTGGGATTCCCATCTGTTATGTCATCATTTCTAATGTTAACCAGTTTCACCTGCCAAAGAGGGAAGAAAACACACAGAATCGAAATAAATATGCCAAAAATACATACTGCACTGCACAGGCGCGACTATAAAGGAAGCATTACTCACTTCCTGAGCCTACTTGGTTATTTTCTTTAGTTTTCAAAAGCTGAAAGGAATTAAATTCTGGCTGCCTGTGGCCTGCCAGGAATCACCCTCTCCCACCCACGCTGACTTGAGGAGATCCCTCCGCTGTCACTATGCCGGCAAATCTGGTCCTGTGCCAAATGCCCTTCATCTCGGCCTGTGTCAAGGTGTGACAGATGGGGAGAGGATAACAAGGACATGCTGATCTGTAACTGTGGTACATCGGTCTCAGGGCAATGCCGAATCTCAGGAAGTGATCACCGGCTTTCCCCATGCTCTTCCGTATCAAAGACAGAATCCAGCAACAAGAGAACTTGCCTGTTAAAGCACAACAACCTGGCTTGATAAAACCAAGAATTTATTATCCCCAAAATGCCATATTAATGACAAAGGTTATTATCACCTCTGCTATTTTACTCATTCACAATGCTGTGAACATGAACAGGTTAACAGGGTTAAAACAAAGGGTGGTATTTTTGCCATTCCAATAAACTCATGTTCAGAGTAAATTTAATAATTCTATTTTCTTTGTTGTATTTTATTATTCTATTCAATTTCTCTCTATGTCTTATTTATCCAGGTAGCCTAGCAATTAATGATGACTCAGATAAAAGGTATTTTATGCTTATGCTAGTAAAGTTACATGCATATGCTTTTTAACATATGCCCTGTTATCAACACTAAACAAGCAAAGGCATGCTCTCTTTTTGCTCTGCAGACATAATCTTAACTATTAGAAGGAAAAAAAGAAAAAAAAAGAAAAAAAAGAAAAAGGAAAAAAAAAGAAAAAAAAAGCACTCTCTCTGGAAAATGTGTATTCCCCAGTTCAAAAAAAGAAATGAAAGACATCCAAATGTTTTCCTCTCACTGCATATGAAAGCTGTTTGTGTTTGGCAAAGCTCTACATGATAGTCAAATACGCTTCCTCTTTATTTTTTTCTTTGTATTTTATTCTTTTCCCCCAAGTCAGGCTCCAGAATTATCCATGCATAGACTCTTTCTAACCTAAGGAACAATAAAGCATTGTGTCTGGAGGTTATACATCCACCCCGAGCAAGTTACCTCCTAAATATGGTTTAGAAAGAAATAACGAGAGCACCACACCTCTTTAACTCTGCCTTTCCTTCCTGAGCTGAACCCCGGTCTCTGGAAAAGTCCCTTTGCCTTCAAAACCTTTCATAGCCCTCACTCCAGGCTAGGACCCCCTCTATAAGAAGGGGAGGGGGAGCTGAAACTTTTACCCAAGAACGCCAACAGCATAACATTATTTTGTAAGCTAGGGTACGGCCACCTTCATGAAACTGCAAGGCTGAAGGAAGCACAAAAATTCTCAGATCACAATCAAGAGCCACATGATGGAGGCCTGCGGTTCCCAGGGAGAGAGGATGATCTGATTTTACATGCCCTGTGACATGTACCTCAGGTCTGGCATACAGATATAAGGCATGGTGCCACACAAACCCAGAGGTCTCGCTGCATAAAAATGCCGTTGTGATCATCAGTTCAATTAGCCTTTCATTTACTTCATAGCATTTTTGTTCAATAGCTCACAGAAGTTCCCCTTGAACTCAGGGAAGCAGGATTGAGTTCTTGGTTCTCTCACCCCACAACCCGAAGTCTGTAACTACACTCACAATATGGAAAAGGCAATCTGCTTTAAAAACAAAAACCAAACAAAGTATCTGCTTAAGTTTTGCTACCTTGTATTTTTTCACACTTTTCAAGTAGCAAAAAAAAACAACCACCACAAACCAAACCAATCAGAATCACCCGAACAGCTCATTTCCAGTGTCAATTCACAAGGATGGGTTAGATGGGGATGCAGTTTTAATTTCAAAAAAATTTTTTGACATTTTTGAATGTTGCCATTTTGCAAAAGGAGAAAGCGAGAATCCTAAGTTTCTAAAAGAAATGTAAAAGCGGAAAGAAACTCATTCCACTGCAGTAGAAAGCCACCAGGGAGTGCAGTTTTCAAGTGTTTGGTCCAAAGGTGGAACTAAACCCAAACTTTCTACAGCACAGGTGACTACTGACTTTCTAGAGCACAAGTTCTGGTTTTATCAGGAACAAGGCTTGAAAAGGGTTTTCCAAAAGAAGCATCATCAAAACAAGTGACTCCCATACAATGTTCTAAATTCTCTGAATCTGGATTTTGCACTAAAAAAAGACTTTGTGAAAAAATAATACATACCAGCTGGTGTTTGAACAGCTTGAGAGATTTTGAATCTATTATAAGCAATTCCTGTGGATCTTCCCCATAATTTTCTCCTCTTTAATATCGTATACCACACGTGTTGATGTTATTGCTCAGAAAAGGCTGGTGTAAAGCTACTTCTGACACATCCCTCTTTACTATCTCAAGCACAAGATCAAGCCAGACCTATACCAGCAGCTCTTACACAGTGTGCATGAATGACCAAGGAGGAATTTCTTTTATATTATTGATGTTATTTACTGGTTATGCAATTTTTGTTAACATCTTTTATTAAAATGTTCACCGTACCTGGCGTTTTTTCAAATAGTCAAGTGCAATTTGGACGTTCTGGAGTCTGTGAAAACGCATCCGACCTTTTTCTCGGGGCTAAAATTGGAAAACAAGAGTCGTGAGATTTCCCTTTCAGACAAAAGAACAAACAGTCTGGCTCAAAAAAATACCACATAAAATGTTCTAGCCTCTACAGTTTTAAATGAAGCCAATAGCCAATGTCTTTGGTGGAAAAGTGTGCTTTAGTGACTTTTATTTTTTTAAGTTGTAGTTGAAATTTTTTACAACAATGGGTGGAAAGGGAGATCAGTGTCCCAAGGTGCAACTTTGCTCCGTGCTGGCAGATAGCTGTTTCCCTGTAAAGTACTACTTAGGCCAAAAGAGCTAAAAAAAGGCCCCACGTGAATCTACAGAAACCAAACTGCAGTATGTAATTATGAAAGACTTACAGTGTATCAAGCAAAGCAAAACATAAGTAATGTCATGGACGTTCATGTTGCTCTGGTAAACTGTAATGGAAAGCTTATCTCTGTATGCACTTTTATGATTTAACACCATTTATTTATGATATGACCACATAACCATTGTAACAGCAATACATATTTATCTAAAGGCATCTAATAAAGATAATACCTTCCTCCAAAAAGACATAATACAACATATACAGCCCTAGAGTGTAAATTTAAACTCTTGCCTTGGGTAAACATTATAAAGCGTGAAAAAAACTCATCACTCTTCTCAAATCAAAAACATATGAGCAAGAATCTGTGAAATGAGCGGTGTGTTAATGGAAACATGGCAAAACTGCATGCAGTTAGTGTAAAATCACCAAGAAGAAGAATCACACAGAAAAAAGAATACTTTACTTAGCTGCCACAGATCAACAATGGGAAAGCAGTTAATTTTTTATCATCATAATATCCAAATCCTTATGTTCTTCTTCCTTATTTCAGATTTTTCACAAACTTTCACAGCACTAAATTGAAGCAAACTAATTGCTAGGGCTCAGCCATGAATATGAGTATTTCCTCAGACAATCGCTGTGAAACGCAAAGATAAACCCAAGCCTTCCTCATTTGACTTTTTTCCCCCTGTGGAGTATCAGACGCTTGCCAAAACAAAACATGGGAAAATGGAGTTGAATAAGAAGCATAAACTGAAACACAAAAAAACTTTAATTTCCATTGTAGAACCTTTGATTTAGCTCCTTCTTTTTCACACTGAGAGCCCAGGATCAGTCCCCTGCAGCCCTTGCTACTGAATAACATCCATGGATGCCATGAAGGACTGCAGACCTGGAACTTGGTTTTCCAAAACAGAGAGAGTAAAATAAATCCCAAACCGTCACAAAATAAAGGTCAAGGATCTCAGAGGGGAAATATATTTTTTTTTTCTAAAGTATAGCTAAAATGCAGCATTTTAAGGTATGTTATGCCTCTAGAAAAAAGCACACATATTCCACTGAAACCACAACTGCAGCACGACACACACAGAGCCAAGAACATAATTAGACCCTGTGACAACAAGCTGCTGGAGCAAACACTGACAATGCAGGTTCTACAAAGGCATGGAAGAGCTTCTTGGACTAACAAGCACTCAGCATTTTACACTTCATAGGTAGATATTTCCCTTCTGGATGGTTGAAACACAGTAAAACCATATGTAAAAAAACATCTGTTGCCAGAAAGATAGATCCTGCAAACCATCCATATATTTGGTAGCCCTACACACAGTTGTCACGTAACTTCTACTTTGACTATCTGCTTTGAAAAAGTAACTATTACATTTGATAAATTCTAAGAAATAGATCTGAACTTCTAAATTACCTGATTTCAAAATATTATCCAATATTACAGCAAATACACTGTTGGTGAGTGGCTTCTAACTAAGATGAACTAATTTTCTGCCACTGTTTTAAAGCCTCCAAGGCTTTGTCTGAATTAAGTGTTAACTGGCAATAGAGATTGCATGTATAAATGCTTGCTTTAATGGAATTGCTGGAATTACTGGAATTCTCTAATTAAAAAAAAAAAAAGTCCTATAGGATTTTGATAATGTTGCACCTTGGTTTTGTACAGCTCAGTGGAAGTAAACAAACAGATACGTTAAATCTTAGCATTTTAGCTGTTCATAAAATAGGCTAAAAAAAACGTTGTCCTTACCATACCTCCATTTTAAACATACATATCCTGGTTTACCCACACGAGTTCTTTTGTCCTTTCTATGGAGCTACTGCACGACACTGAACTAAGAATTGACTTTTACATTAGCAGACACCACACTTCAAACACTATGTTAGTACAGTTATGGGGGTCGGCACCTACCCCCTTATCCTCATCCTCCACATCCTCATGCTGTTCATACGCGCATGCTTCTGTAGAACTCACCAACCGTAAGGTCTTCAAAAAATCTCGCTCTCTTGGCTAATGAATATAACAGACAGGAGACAGGACAGCAAAGACACAAGACAGACCACAAATGAAAAGAAGAGCATGAAAAGAAGAACATAACGAAGAGAACAAATACCAAGCAAAGGAAGTAATGCTCACAAAGAAAGGAAATGACATCTGAGGAGTGTGTTAGACAATTTCAGGGACATTTTACCCTTGCTATTTGTAAGTTACTCCCTCTAATGGGAAGGGATATTAAGCATCCAGTACTTGTTAAAAGAAAAATTATAAAGAAAAAGGGAAGAGCAGAAAAACTGGTATTTTACCCTATTAAGAAAAGAAGTCTCACTGACCACAAGAAATGAAGAAAACAGATTGCATTCCCCTACAGGATTCATGGTGCAGTATTTTACCAACAGAAATATAACTTGTGTCTTTGGTATCAAGTCACAGGTTATGGGAAATATCAAAGAAGTTTCCAGCAGTCAACATCCTAAGAGTTAACAGAGTGTATGTATATAAAACAAACTGCAACTCCTGCATTCTGATTTAAAAGCTTACCAAGGTGTCACCAGAAAGGACTTCTAGAAGCGAGATTAAGTTATGTCCATCTCTTAGGTCTTCATATAGGTCATTCACATGTTTTCGAACCTGCACACATAAATGCAAAAGTAAAATTTAAGTTCCCCATTTATACCAAAGAATTCAGTCATATAAGCAGTTATCGTTTAACATCCATGCGTACACATACCTCAACTTTCACTTTCATGATGGATTTACAAATCAAAATTCAATATAATAATAGGCAAAATTCACATCCTTGTCTGCACTCATACTGTTCCATTGCGTTTTGTTTCATTTTATTGAAAAAGTGTCAAGTTATATTCAGCGAATGCATATAGCAACCAAAAATCAGTATCTGACAGTTTAAACGATACCAGATATTCACCTATTCTGACCTAAATCTTGATCGCTTACAGATGCCGCTAGCTAGACTCAGTGAACTGTGAAAAAATGCACAGAGCAAAACCCTGTCTTGGCACGTGTATTATCCTCAGCACGCACGTTCACTGTTGTCAGGCCAGCAGTCAGTGCACATTCTGCCTTTAAACATATTGCTAATCAAGCCATATGGCCTGCCAATTAACAACATGTTTCCCAGTGCTGAGTGAGTTTTCCCAACAGCTCACACATCCTTACACATCGCTCCAAAGAAATACGATGTTTAGTTGATCCGGGGAAGCCAAGGGGCATGCACAGCCCTTCCACCAGCTGCAGAGGTTAACACTCCTGACGGCTCCGCAGTGCTCTTCTGCCCGTGGTCACCGACCCATTGGATCCACTTCCCCAGTGCCCCCTAAGAGACCGCCAGCCTTTGCCACTTGACCTTTTTTGACTGAAACGGGTTGAGAAGAGCTGATAACCAGCAGATCCTGGGAGGCCAATCATGGGTGAGGGAGCAGAAGTAATGAGAAGAGAGACGGCCAAAAACCTTAACTTTTCTGACGGGTACAGCAAAGCTGAAAGATGTCTGCCCCATAGGCCAACTTCTTGGTTTTCAGTGTTAGTATAGCTAGCTCAAGTATAACCTTATTTGAAATTGTTAAAAATTTCAGCCACCTGCTCCTTAGAAGTGAAACAAAGGGCCTCGCTTCTCAGGTGCAAAGATTCTTGATGCTGTCAGTCAGGGCAGAGGCTGAGGGCATTTCAGCTACAATTTAATGCTGATTCACTGATGTTCCCGGTAAGGCACCAGGTCAGAAACTTCCTAAGCTTCCAGATGATAAAATACAACATCAGAAGGTTCTTCTGAAGATTTTCTATCTACTAGAGACAAACTGTGCTTCCAATACAAGATCTGTAAGACTATCCCCTGACTGCCAGCATTTCTGTGTGCATGACGAGGACAGCAGGAATCAATCCAGATCTTTGGCCTTACGCAATAGTTCTGTTTACCTGACTTTCAGGGGGACTTCTAGATCCATCTTATTGAATAAATCACTGCCTCCATACTGCTGATCAGCTTGATAAATGTTTTTTAATTCAGGGTTTCTTACTCCAACTTCTAAACATGAATACCATGACCTGTTTTTACAAAGACCATCGTCTTAATTGGGAATAGTATCAGAGTATATTTACGCTCGTGCTGAAGACTAGCCAGAACAAGTCATCTAGAAGATTGTTCCGTAAGGAATTACAACAGATAATATTTTCCAAACCGTTTATAAAGATTCTGCAGATGCAATCAAGGTACACGCACAACATCACTCTTATACATATACATAGCTTTATACGCTCACATGCATACACAATGTAATTTAATTTTAATCCCAACTGTGATTAAAAATCCAATGTGCAGTTAATTTAAAAAAAATGACACAGGAAAAATCTCTGGGAATATGAACTGCTGTTAAGCTAAACAAAGAAACAAATGTTCTCCTAGTATATATGTGGCAGAAAAAGAAAAAAAAAAGAAAAAAAAAAAAGGAAAGCCTCAAAGACAACATTAAAACCCCTGATACTAGATTTCATTATGCTAAATGCTGAAAAAATTAAAAGCACAAGGGTCTTCATTTTTGAACCCAAAACAACTGTGCCTTTTTATGTTTCCATTCAAAGAACCACGGAAAACTGTGTGCTAAAGGCTTTCCCACAAAAGCAGGCAATTTTTCTACAATAAAACCCTGTGAGAGGGTCCCCCTCCTCCCTGCCCCTCTGGCCAGGACGTGTCACTCTCCAGCTCCCTTAGGAGAACTGAATCCCAAGCCAGACTGGAGCCACAGTGCAGGCTGGTGACTAAAGACAAGGGAGGACATCAGGTTAAGGACAGAGGAAAGGGACATACATCTAAAAGACACCAGACCAGCGCTGCTGAAGAGTCACAGGCATGCAAAGCCGGCATATCCACCCTTTTCAACACAAAATTCCTGACAATATCAATGTGCAGAATTGTGAGACAACAAAATTTAACAATTTCTAATCTGTCCATTTTGTTTCCTCATTAGATGCAGTTTAATTTTGTGCCTTAAAGATGATTTATCCTCTGGCCTGTCTCTCACAATGCACATTTGTTTACTTTCTGTTTGTTTCTTATACTCTGAGGTTTCCAAAGTATTTCAGAACCAAACATTTTCCCCAATTCATCTTTCTAGAAATCACAGATGTTTCAGAGATAAATCCATGCTGTTTATGAAGAAAGTGCCATAGAGGTTTCACAACAGGAAAACCAGCAATATATGCCTTAGACTTCTTTCTTAGTTCTGCCATTGACTGACAGTTATTGAGAAGATTAATTGATTAGGACATACGACTGTGACATGCTAGCACAGGATAACATAATAAGGAATTTGTTCCAATGCCCTGAGCAGCAGATGTGCACCTAAAAAGATGTATTTGGGCAATTGATGTATTTTGGGCAAGTGTGTTCACTCAACGTAGGAGGCCACATCTCGAAGGAACACCTTGTGCTTCTCAGGAGATCCTACATTGCCACTTGAGGAAAAGCTCAAAAAACCTCTCAATCATCACTCAGGCAGGTTTTGCCTCTCAACACATATAATGAATTCTTAGATCTTTAAACACACAAAACTAAGTATTGTTTCACTGCTGTTTTCCTAACACATCCAGACTCCTTCAAATCGTGTCGTACCACAGCATTCAGGTGGGAGCTCCTGGATGGACCCACAGGATTTGCAGACCCTCCGTGCATTTCATTAAGACTTCTTGTGGCTTTTCAATAAAACAGCAGAATTGTCAGCCCTACACTCTGCAAGGTCCACGTGCAAAGTAGGTTACATGCTGCCTCAGGCAGCTTTTTGCAATATACCCATGTGAGTGTGGGAGACTAGATAATTTGGGCATGACAAGAGATTCTTTAAGGAAGATGTGGGAGGTATTTAGTGGCTATGGGGCATATGACAAACCAGAAGCAAAATGGCTTCATCAGTCAAAAGCAGACAGGGAAGATTTAAGGTACTGTTTCAGAGATGATTCATCTTCTGATCTTCTTCTTCTGGCATGCATACTACAATGTTTGTGTCAAGTAAAGCTCCACCCCCCTCAATATGAGCATGAGATATTTTTCATATCATACATTCCCAGTAAACTTAAGCCCTGCATTGAGGAACCTGCGCTGCCACTAATAAAAACTGCTTTTAAAATTGTAGCAGACACGGAGCTGTAATCCTGCCCCAGATCCCAGCACTTTAGGCACTCTACAAATGGAGACCGTAAAGATGTCACTGCCTCTGAAATCTAGCGAATTAATACCCTGCATAACTCACATAGCTTCATCATACTGTTCAGCTGACGCATTTGGTTGACCCTGTAATCGAGTTGTTATCAGTTACAACCTCGTGTACAGTTCCCCTTCTGCAGTCAAAGGCCCTGAGCCACAGGGCTTGATTTCCTTTTCTGTAGGCCAGTGTCACAACAAACCTGACACCATCGCCTTCAGTCTGCCTGGGTCTCATTTCCAGTGACACAAAACGAAGCCTTGATTCAGCTGCATGGGCACACACCTAAGACCATTTCATGTGCTGAGGGTTATGCCACTTGCCCCAAGGCTTCTTCTCCAGGAGGATGCAGGTTTGCTGAAGTCCGTCCTGTCAGCCTCTCACAAACCTGTCCTGAATTCCCTAACACATCTCAACGGCCCTAGGTAACTACACACCTGAACTGAATCTGCACAAACTGACCTCTGGTTTTGCCACAGGCCATGGCAAAGAACAAGCTATCTTCCACATGAATCACACATGCTACAGGCTGTGACTTGGCAGTGAAGTCACCTAAAACCTCTTTCACTGATGCACTTCACAGAGCCACAGCCAGGTAGCGAATCTGACCATAACTCTACAAAAGAAAAGTGAGATGAAACTAACCCACTTCTTTTTTTCTTGACAGTTTAGTTGTGTTGTACTGATATTGGACAAAATCTGGTTGTGTATGCCTGTATGGATGATATGGGAAAGTCTGTCCCTGCTGCATCTGCAAGCAAAAACTGCTTGGTGTTGAAAGGAAGGAAAGAACATGCCCTGCTAAAACTCTGTGAAAACAATCTCGCCCCTTTTTCTGCTTCAGAAGAAAATCTGGCAGGAAAATAGTGTTGTGGCCCTTTCTGTGCATACAGTGGATGCACACCCAGCACGGAGACACCTCACAGACACTGGTGCTACAGCACAGCATGCTCCAGCCCAGTGCCTAAAATGCAAGGGGTTGCGTTCTCAACTGAAACACCGTAGGAAGGAAAGGAAATAACGTGTTGCAGAATACTGAGGAGAAGGCAAAAGAGGCCAGAGCGAGCATATGATCAGATAAGGCAGGAACAGCCAGCAGCTACTCCCATGTGCCAGAGGCAGCCAGGAACTCCCTCAAGGAAGTGAGGCAACTGCGCGACCCTGGGGCCGCAGGCCTTGGAGCCAAGGCAAGCTTTGTGCTCACACTCTTGCAACCGTTCCAGTTTGTACAGGCTGAAGAAAGCAGACGATCGTAATCACGTATCTTTCTTAAAATATTGGGATTTTTCTTATCTATGCCACAGGTAAGCTGAAGCGATGGTGGAGAGAACAAGCCAAACCAGGCCTCTCCTTACAGTTTTCAGAACTGGCAGCAGTCGAATCAAATCTGATTCCTGTTTTTGAGGAACTGAAGTT